TGGTGCAAATCAGGAGCTGCTCCACTGATGTCAAGGGCATTGCCCCAGATTTAACCGAATGGAACAGAGAACAGAATTTGGCCCTCAGAAGCCAAGCATGGAAAGAAGAAACTGAACTGATTCAGTGGTGGATTCTCACTGGTAAATTCTCTATTACATGACCTTTTGTCCTCTCTTTTGTGCTGTATGAATTCAGTTGCAACCTGTGTCTCGGCCTGTATTTTGTAAAGTGCCACATGTATTTACAGCACTGAGATAAGTAATAATAAATAATAATAAATTAAAAAACAGCAGTTTAGATCAGGTTATGTCTAAGCGGTGTGGTAGTGTAGATACTACATTGACGGAAGGGGTTTTCCTGTTGTCATTAATTCACCTCTCCGAGAGGCAGTAACTAGGTTAACAGAAGAATCCTTCTATCGACCTCACTGTGTCTACACTGGGGATGAGGTTGACCTAAGTACGGTGCTCAGGCATGAAATGTTTCGCAGCCCTGAGTGATGTAGCTAGGTCAACCTACGTTTCAGGTGTAGACCAGGCCTTCTCCAGTGAATGTATCCCTTTGCAACCCGTGCCTGAGACGCAATCCTGCCCCCACTGTAGTCAGCGGCAAAGCTCCCTTGACTTCAATGGGAACCGGATCAAATCCCTGCACTTTATCTTGTCATCCCCTGGAGTTTCAGATCGGTCTCTCCCACCCATCCCGCTATCACTATTTCCTGCGCCCCTGTTCCCAAACAATGACGAGCACTCCAGGCTCCAGCTGATACAAATCTCATGATTGAAAAAAATGTTACCAATAAACCCAACCACTCAGTTTCAAAGCTGGGAAGAGTGAATCCTCCTGCATAAGGCTTTTCATTGCTACTAGTTCTTTTTCCTGAGTAATTGCCAAATAGCTTCACCAAACTTGTCTCTCCAGGAGTCAGGCCTGATCCAAAGCACACTAAAGTCAATGGACAGACTGCCACTGACTTCAGATAAGGCCCCTAGTGTGCTCCTCCAGAGCGAACACATTCCCGCTCTTAGAGCCCATGTATTTAAAGGTAGGGATTTCAGTGTAAAAAAAGGAAGCTTCAGCTTTATATTATTTCTTGCAAGGAACTTTAAGCATCCCTGAAAGCACCAATAGGCACAATCAGTTGTAAAGACATCCCTCTAAAAGCAATAATAACTCAAACCTAAACCCGAAAGAGTCAGAATGGATATGAAATTTGGCTCTCTGTAAGCTCTCCGAGCCTGAGACACTCCATCTCCCTGATTCAGCATCTCACACATGGAAATGACATTATCTGCACACAGTGGACATCAAAGAGGGAATGGATCCCACATCCTGGGAAACTAATAGGATTTATTTGGTTCTCTCTCCCCACTGGGACGGGGCATAAGAATGTATTTATGTATCTACATCCCTCTCTGTCTGCATGTTTTATACATTTACACAGACATATTTTATACCCATAATCACCACACACACGCACAAAACCCCAGCCTCCTCACACACATTAAAATCATGTTATAGGTCCAATTTGAGTCTGCAGAAGTGGGGAAATTCAGCTCAAGGCTCCATCTGTTTTGCCTCGGGGGCTAAAGCCATATAAAGTGAGACAGTCAGTGCTATGAAATCCCTCTGCGGTCTCATCTCAGAAAGCCCTTGTTTTTGTGGATGCAGGTGGGCCCCAGGCCTCTGTATTTTCAGCACCTTGAGCAGGGATATTTAACCATGCGACTTGTATTGATATTAATGAAAGTCATGTGGCTTAAAAAAAAACCACTGAGGAATTAAGTAGTTTGTTGCTTTAATTCTTAGAGAACTGGAAACTGTTTTCTAAGGGTTTTGATTGGCTGCGAGGGGATGCTCCACCTGGGATGAAGGGCAGTTTCTGGCAGATGTCATAAACCAGGATCAATCAGCTCTGTCATCAATCAGTTCCGCTTGGAAAAGTGGCTCTGTATTACTGTTATCATGGGATTCCATGCTTACTGTGGCAATGACTCCAGATCAAATGTGCCCCGTTTATAAGCAATATGATTTTTTAAAGGCTCAGTACCACAAATTCAAACTGAGAGTCAACACGCTGAGTTCTTTCCTTCTCATGCATCATCACCAGCCACAGAGGTTCTGCAGGCCAAATTCCACCCCTCAGTGACACTGGGCCAACCCAACTGTCTTCAGATTAAGCTATCAGAGACACCTGTGCCAACTACCATCCGCCAGCAGGCAAGATTGCACGGGTGTAGTTGCTTAACCCAGTAATCAGGTTAGAGTAAACAATTCTGATGATGGTGCAAATGGAGGAATAGCATCCAGGTCACTCCCTTGAGCAGCAGGAAAAAGCAGCACAAGATTACTTTAGTCATTATAGCCAGCAGATCTGACTCTGAACATGAGCTGGGAGCAAATCTGTGATACGAAGACGCCATTTCACAAAGTCACCTTGCATTGTGGAACCCCATTTTGAGGGCTCTGGGTTCTATTTGCTCTTTAACAGAAACTGGCAACTCCTAGTAGCATCAAAGGAGTTGCATGAATGAATCCTGTTGGAAAATAGATCCCCAAGGACCAGAAATATCTGAGTTTTTCCTCCTCGGAAACAGCAAATTAAATTAAACTTAAAACATGAGAATAGTTCTAAACCCATGCGAGAGTGTGTGCGTGCAAACGCTTCTGTGAGAGCAAGTGTGCACAGGTGTGAGAGTGGGCCTGCAGCATGTGCTTCTCTTTGGCCATCCTGCCTTCATGGAGGCAGTTCTGGCTGCAATATTGTTGCTTATGTTCTGTTTGCAAGACAATAAGCCCTCTGTTATGAAGGCAATGATGTCTGTGAGCACCAACTTTTTACTAGGGCCCAGTGAGATCATTGTGATCTGAACTGTGTTAAGTGAGGAAACTTTTTCCCAGATAATTATCTGACCCCATGAATTTGCAGGAGTGAAGTGCCCATAATAAAGGCAGTAGGAATACATTTCATTTCCTTTTTTTAAAAAGGCAGACAAATTAGCCTTTGGTGGTTGCATTTGCATGTGTGTTCATGGGTGCAGGGTAACCACAATGAATAGTGGACCATCCGCATTATTATCATTACCCCGCATCAAAGGTAATCACAGAAAGGCATCAGACAGCACATAGCCTAGTTCTTACCAGTGGAAGCTAAGAGAAGATCCACCGGCTAAACGAGATAGAGGAAGAGCGACAGAGACCTAAGGAAAAGGCCGCCCTATAATAGAAATAGGAAGCGGTCCTCTAATTCTTGTGATTAGAGCAGAAATGGACTCCTGGATCCTGGAACCTATTCCTGATTCTACCACACACTCACTGCGTGACCTTGGGCCAGTCACATCCTCGCTCTATCTCCAGTTCCCCACGTGTAAAACTGGGGAAATAAAATACCCTACCTAACCCTACCAAGGGTTTTGAGATGACTGGACTGAACGTGCTGTGGAAGTGTAAAGCATAATTGCAAAGCCATGGAAAAGAGAGAAAACGCTGAGCGAGAAGGGAAGAAAAAAAAATCACATCACTAAAGAGTAGCAAAAGCAAAGATTCTTGCTCCCTCTTGCTCCCTTGAAAGGAAGTTACTTGGTTTTGTACCAGGATGGTAAAGCTTTCACTTTGTCTCCAGGGTGGGAGTTTTTCCTCAGGCATCTTCACACTCTGCTGCTTGAAACACTTCTTTGAGGTAAGTGCCTCCTCTCGTCAATTCTTGTAAACGGCTGACAAAGGCGGCAGCACCTGTTCACAATTACCTTCGCTGGTCTCTTCACCGTTGCTGATCCCCCACTGATGTACGCACACGTGTAACTCGTTTATGTTTCTTACTTTGTATTACACGACTCTTGGCATCATTTTAACCAGAGAGGCACATGGGTTGCTTTAGTCTCGCATTACTTGTTGATTTCATTAGCAGCCCAATGAGCTTCTAAAAAGCGATAAAGGGAACTTTCATGGCTCAGTGTTTTGCTCTCTTCCCTCTCACTTCCTTAGCCATTTCATCCTGGTTTTCAGAAGCTCGCCCCATTCAAAGCATTTTAGCCTCAGGGGAGCCATAAATCAAGTAAAAGCTGGCAGCCCCAGTGGCCACTGGCTGACCTCAGGCAAGACATTCTGTGGCCCTCTGTCGGAAGGACACTCCATAAACATGTGCCTGCTGCAGATGTTGTGAAGACCCAGATGTAGAAGCAGTAAAGGCATGGACCAAAAGCCTGCCAGAATGGCAGAGATCTTCACGATTGTTATTTCTAAAGGCAGCCACAGCTGTACTCAGCACCTCCCAAAATAGAAAGAAGATGTGATCCTTGCAGAGGAGTTTACAAAACTCAGAGCAGACACCACAACGGGCTGTGAAGTGTCGTTGTTCTGGCTAACAACCTGGCAGTGCATGTGGTGTCTGCAGTGGGAGGAGCTAACAGCTGCTGTGTCCTGATCTCACAGAAGTGGGACTATTTCTTTGTTCGAGGAGCAGAAATCCCAAATCAAACCATTATCCAGTCAGGCCACAGTCAAAAAATTCAGACCTGGAAATGCAGCCCAGTCGATAAGCCTCGGGGATTCCTCCTGCCAGCTCTGCAATTGACTTGCTTTGTGATTTTGGAAAGCCACTGCAGCTCTGTGTGCCCCATATATAAAATGGGGTTAGTGATGCTCACCCACTTTTGAGATCCTTGGATGGACAGTACTAAGTGAGTGCTGATTATTAGTTAGTCTGAATGTACCCAAATCTCAGAGGTGGGATCAATTCAGGCCCATCGCTATTGTTAGATGACATTTTCCTGCTTTGTTCTTATTTGCTACTGCCTCTGCACATCCGGGGACCAGCTGAGACCAGACTAAACACAGAGAAAAATGGGACAAGAGCACAGCTCTTTGCCAGAGAAACAGGAGAACCTCTTACAAACCTCAGATACGCCAACCATATCACACACTGCTCCATAGAATGGCCGGGTCAGCTCAGAACAGAAAAAGCCCAGTAAGAAAACATTTCCTAACCCAGTCCCAATACCTCAGAAACATTGATCCGTCCTTCCTGAAACGAGCAAGTTGTGGGGTCATGAGTGCAAAGGTTCCGATATTTGCACCAATGGCAGCGGAAAGCGCTGTTCACGCAAGACAGGCACCTGTAGAGCCAGAGAAAGAAATAAAGTCTGTGTTACAGAGATGATTATCGGGAAATGAACTTGGCACTGGAACAGACAGGACTATCCATCGGAATATACACAGGTTTATACATACGAAGATATGCTCCTGGCAGAAAACTAAGACAAAATCGCTAAAAAATCAGGGACCCAATAACCTGCATGCCAAACACGGCCTCAATTATTTGCTCCTATTTCTGCATCCCTCAACAGTTTCATCTATTTAGACTGGAAGTTCGTTGGGGCAGGGAACAGTGGCGTAGCCAGGTGGAGGGAACAGGGGGAGCATAAAAAAAAGGCACCACCCGCTGCGGTGCTTTTACTGACGGGGCGGTGCTTTTACTCACCCGGCGGCGCTCCAGGTCTTCAGCGGCACCTCGGCAGCGGGACCTTCACTTGCTCCGCAGGTCTTCGGCGGCATTTCCTTCAGTGCCGCCGAAGACACCCGGAGCGAGTGAGGGCCTGCCGCCGAAGTGCTGCCGGGTGAGTAAAAATGAAAAAGGCGCCAAGATGCTCAGTGGGGGAGCGGCCGCTGCCCCGCTCCCCCCCAGCTACGCTACTGGGAACAGTGGACGTACGTATCTGTGAGGTGCCTAGCACACTTTTGGCACTACAGAGGTAACAGATAATAATGCAATGTTAAGTTTAAGAAATCAAGCACTCTAAAGCCCAGGATTCTGCCCCTCATGCTCTAAAATATAGCCAGTCTTTACATGACTTATTAATACAAGCTGAAGCATTTTTTACAACATGACATAAGGTACAAGAAAAAACAATACTGTGCAATCTTGACTGATTTTAAACCTCAATGGTATCTACAAACAAGCCAGGTTTGAAGAAAATTGGCTCACTTGTTTTAAAAAATTGGAAATATTTAAAGTCATCAACTGTAAACATTTCTATTTGGCCTTTTTCACTCCAATTCAAACCTGGAGCACATTAGATCGCTCGGGGCATACCAAGCATCTGTGCTTGATGTCGGATGAGGCCAATGGTGCAGGACATGTTTTTTGACATGGGGTGAGCCTGCCAGTCCAGGAACTGGCTGAGTATTTACTACCTCACACCTCCTAATCTGCTGACAATGAGCTGGGTGGCTCATAACAATTGTTGATATTTGCAATAAAGCTTCCTTTGGTCTCAGAAGTGGCTGTCCATTGTCAGCATTTCGTACGGTTTCCAGGGATCCTCAATGACCCAAAGGCATGGACTGTGTGACTGAAGGGGGGATATGCACCCCTGTTTGTGCACTGGACAGACAGCCAATGGTCTGTTATTTTCTTTCTAAAGTTACTGTCACTAAAATGCATATTTAATGGCTTCTCCTTTTTACTTCTGAGTTGTATTTTCCTTCTTAAGCATCTGTAATGACCTTAATAGCTAAGGAAGCTTATTCTAATCATGAAAATGCAAATCTGGGAAGCAATATCAAGCGCCGTGAGCTTATTTAATTACTCCTTTATTTGACCCATTTCTGTCTCCATTTCGGTTTGCCGCACTCCTGCCCTCCCACCTTGGACCTGACCTTTAGCTTTCCGATCTGGGGTAGAAGGGGCGCTCTGCTTGGCTTAGCACGGCTGAGATTACAGGAGGAAGGTCATTCTGATGATCAAGCCCAAGAGTTTGGTTAGCCGCCTGTCATTGTAACGTGTGGTTTTCTTGCTGCTGCCTCAGCTCCACTCTGTCTCAGCTGGGAAGGGGCAAAGGTTGGACAGGGAGTCGCAGACAAGTGACTTCTTGAAAGCTCATCCACAGTGAGTGCCTCGGCTCTTTCATGAGGAGAGTTTCTCACACAGTCGCTCCCTCACCCCAGCAAAGTCCCCTCAGAAAGCAGTTTCCATTAAAAAAAAAAAAAAAAAAAGGGTCCCCTTTGCTTCTAAACCAGGAAGCATCCTTGCCCCATGGCATCTGGGAACCTCTCACTCTGAGAAAGGGCTTAGTCCCTGCTAGAAATGGGCCCCAAACCAGAACCATTTATCAGATTCCCCAGCCCTCCCTTGAACTTTGTGGGGCACTTGCATTAATGGACCCCAGATCCAAACCATCCCAGCTTTTAGGCTTGCAAAACAAGAACCCAACTGATGAGGGTTAGCAAAATCACTCCACCCCTACAGACTGCCCCCGTTTGACAATGTACTACACACAGCTGGACGTGCCATCTGTGAGAAACAGCAGAGTTCAGCACACTGCACCGTCCATAACCCAGAGAAGGAAAAGTCATTCCCCACACCGCTATGCAGCCAGAAGGGGCAGAGTATCCTCCGCTCCCGAAGTTTGGCAATGGGCACTAAGCCATTTTTAGGTCTGGTCTCATCCAGGGGCTATGAGCTGGCTTTCTCTCTCTCACTTGATTGGTGAGCTTTCTTCCAGCATGCCTGACTCATGCCCCTGGTGAACTCAGACAGCAGTGCAGGGCAGTGTAGATTTTATGGAAGACACACTTTTAGCACTTTGCCTTTAAGAATTAGTCACTTATGCCATCTCTGACCCCTGGTGTAATTTCCTGTTAGAAAGGGATGAGGGCAGAGTAGACCTATTGCCTCATTTGGTTCAAATCTCCACTCCTAGGTAAGGTTAGGAGCAGCAGGAACTCCAGCCAGATCTCCTGAAGGGACATCCTTGTTCCAGCCAAACTGGTGGCAATTCAGGGAAGAGCAACAAGACTGCATAAGAGACTTGAAGGACGGATTTACAAGGAGGGGAAGAGAAAGGTAGCTAAAATCCATTACGCTTGGCTAAGGGATGAGGAAGTGGGGACATCACTGTCTACAGGGATATGAAAGTACAGGGGAGAGCATGTAGTCTGGATTTGCTGATGGGCTATAACTGGGAGTAATGAGACCCATCTATCGAGGGACTCATATGGGCACTATCTCTGTAGTGCCTGAGCTGAAGTTAAAGGCAAAATGTAGGCTGAATGCCAGGAAACGACATGAAAGCCAAGCCTATTAGACTGTGCAAGAGTCTCCCAAAGGAGTGGGAGAAGCCCCATTACCTGGGTCTTGAAAACTAGGCTGGACAAAGCAATGCTGAATAGAAAAGGAGACGACCCTGCTTGGACACTCCCTGGCCCCTGCCAGCAGGATAAAGCAGGCAGGGCTAACAGAGCATTTCCAGCTCTAACTTCTACCATTCTGGAGCCAGCTGTCCAATCCCTGGCAGTAGGAGCTGCTTCCCCAGCAGAGCAGTTCAGGCCTGCCTTTCATTAGCTGGTCTTTGGCACGGTATTCACAGTCTCCCGTGTCCTGCACATGTTTCACTTTGGTTGTGCGAGGTTTCGGTTTGTCTGTTCCCACTGAGATATCTATAAACACTTCAGAAATTTTAACAAACCCCAGCCAGCAGCGTTCTGCCTCAAGGGCTTCCGCGGGAACGGCTGCTGTGGGGAACACGCTGCTGCACTGCTCAGCCATCTCAAGAGCAGATTGAGAGCCAAGAGGCACCTGTGTCTACTGTCTGCCCTGCCTGAGGCAACTGACAGGGCCTGCACTCGCCTGCTAGGATCTTTTACTGTGAAGCTGAAAGGAGCTCAGAGCTTTGTGGGGCTTCTCTGGCCTGATCTTAGGGGAAAGAGACACAGCAAAGGCGCCATCTCTAGTAGAAACATTTTCTCCCTGTGTGTCTGAAAAACAAGCTGAACAGCAAACCCCAGCCTAGTTCCCTTCACTGCACTCCTGTGCTCTCCTGGCACAACCACCCTGCCCCATCCCCCTTTGTCTTCCTTTTGAGAGTCTACAACAGAACACATCCCTGCGCTGTCTTAGCGGTTTATGGAGGGAAAGGCCTCTGAGTCTCCTACAGATACTTGGAGCTGCTTTATAGGGAACTCCCAGGCACTTTCTTCTCTCCCTTTCCCCGCAGCTGCCTGTGAGTAAGGATGGAGTTGAGCTCACAGTTGCAGGATCACGCAGCTTGGGGGCACCAGCAGGTCAAGCTTCTTTCAGACACATTCATTCTCTGCTAAGGCAGATAAATCTTGGTGCTCTCGGAAAAGTTTCCACATGATGGGGATCTCTTGGTTTCTCTCTGTCGCTGACGACCCTGAAAGGTCAGACTGCCAGCATCAAGCCAGAACCTCCCCCAGTGCGTGACTGAAAATCGTATTCCTCTTCTGTTTTAACCCTCTGTGCTGCCCCACAGCATTTGGGCGATGTCCATCTTGGTGGCGCAAGAAGGGCTCTTGGTGGCACAATACACCTCAGAGCAGTTCTGTAGTCTGGCACGGCACACTGGGTGTCCTGGGAGGAATCCTGTCTCCCTGGGGTGTGTATCAGCTGTGCACTCAAGAGGTTAATAAAGAAACCCATTCCACTATGTACTTAGACAGCAGTCTCCATTGGAGGGGGGTGGGGGAAAGAACCAGGGGCCTGGGTCTGGGATGCTGGTAGGGAGGGAAAGTGGGAAAGGAGGGAGAGGGTGTCTTACAATTGGTGAGCACTGCAGTTGTAGAATTTGAACTCCGTGCTGACGAACATCTTTCCTGTCTCCTTGGATTTCAGCTGGAGCTCCAACCCGAACCAGTCTGGAAAGAGAGGAGGGGAGGGGGATTACACCAGAAATAATGGCGATTGCAATGGACGAGGTACTGGTTTTCTCTCAAGGCAGGGTTGACGATTCGCTGAGCCCCCCTACTTCTGGTGTGGTGTGGAGAAAATCAAGCACCTCTGGTCCCACTGGTGCACTAGGACACCAGGCTGCACCGGGTCTCTGAAAGCTAAGGGTCTCTGAGCAGCCAATAATCCACACACTGTGTATCCTCTGGGGACGTCAATGGAACATGCCGTGCTGTTCCATGGCTGGCCAGTGGAAGCTGCTATGAGAGCATGACACGGCCTCTCCCAAAGCTCCTGGGAAGCTGAGCCAACTGGCTCCATGAACCACCCCCCACAGTCAAATCACACCTAATGAGGTGGGAAAACACACTAGAGAGGTAGGTTCGCACTCCACCTTAGGTCACAAGTGAAATGAGTGTGGTGGTCTCATCACATTCCCTAGAAGAGGTTTCCCTTCAGCATAAACTCACAACAGGACTGGGGATAATTCACAGTCTATCCTGAAATGCAGCCCAGGATGGGATGTTGCAGGCAAGGACTGGAGGGCATTAACAGAGCTAAATAAGAGGCTCACCACTGGAATAATCAAGAATAAACTGCACTAGCTGAGCTGTGCGAGGGAGGTTTGCTCTTCACTTTCCTAGCTCTCTCCAAGCCCCTAACTTTCATGAGCACTCAAATTCAACATAACATTTTACATATAGGAAAATATCAGCAGGAAAGCACAGATGACACCTGGAAGCGCGCCAAGGAGAAAATGAGTTTAAAACAAGTAGCATTCTGGTTCTGGAGAGAGGGAGAGGGGGAATATGACAGCAGTGACATTAATGAAGAAACAACCCAAAGATCAAAACCAAAAAATAGAAACCTCATCCACCTACTCACAGCGACTGAGTCAGGCCTGAGTGCAGCAACCCCCACACTTTCACCTCCCACATCTGCCTAGCATGAAGGGTGAGTTCCCTGGTGGGATGAGAGACAAGGTAGCTGGCTTGAAGATTCACCAGTTATTGGGGTTTCTTGGGCACAGCCTATATCCTGAGGATCTGGGTTGTTACCGGATAGCCACCTCCGACCCCATTCCTGGATGGTTTGTCATCCCGCACAGCATCACCGGGGTTCAGGCAGGATTGATATACAGCCCAGCTGTGGTCTGCTCTGCTCTGCCTGGCAGCTAGATCTAGACCTGCTCGGCACTCGCTGGCTCCTCTCCCCCATAAGGCGAATACACAGGCAAAACGCAAGGCCACCAGGCAATACTCCAATCATGAAATCAGCTCACCTTGGTCCACAGGAATGGCGGGGACATCTTTAGGGGCCGGTGAAATGCAGACAACCTGGCTGCCGGAAACTTGGCCTTCCACCTCAGTGAGGTTTCCAAACAAACAGGTGATTCCAGCTGACAGGTCTGGAGCATCACTCACCAGCAGGCTGAGCTGGAACAAGGGAAAAGGAGAGAAAAAAAAAAATACAACCAAGATCCCATTAGCTGTCAGAACTACCCAGAGTTCCCTTTAGATTTTCAGCACCTGCTGCTTCTCTGTGGAGCATCAACCCTACGCAGAGAAAAAGACCAGACATGTAGCACGCAGCCACTCCTTTCACTGTAACCAGAGGAGGAAAGGTGGACAGTGTTGCAATTTTTTTCTCCACTCATATATGATGGCCATACAGTCCCCTCTTTAGCCAGTCCCTGGGAAAAGGGTGGCAGGTGTTCTGGGACCTGCCTCTCCCAGTGCAGCACCTGGAACAGAGCAGGTAGGGAGGGTGTGCAGCCGCTTAGAAAGGAACAGCTGGGAGCCTATGGGCAGCTAGATCCTCCCAGAGGGACAAGTAATGGCAGGGAAAAGAGAAACTTTTCCTTCAATGTTTAACGGAGGCTGGCAGTTGCTCAGTGCAAATGTGGGCATTGGGGCCAGATTTGGGAATGTGGGTGTCTGTGTGACCTCTGACTCCCTTCCCTTACCAACCCCTTCATGAACCTGAACTCCATGTTCATGGGAAAATATCTGTAGAGAAAAAAAATGGCTGTCATTATGATTCTGAGCCTGTGTGTCTGGAGCACTGTCTGTCACAACTGAGCTACCCTGGCCCATGGGACTGAGGGCCTGCGCACAGAATCACCTGCCACCTGTACCTACCGGAAGGCTGTGCTCAGACACAGAGATGCTGCTGGGCTGCACGGTGACACTCATACACTGGTTGATGCTGGCTGCAAATCGGTACGGCTCATCTGCTCGCTCGCACTTGTCCTTCCGGGAGCACCTGATATACACACAAGTGTCAGTGCAAAGGGACACCTGATGAACTTATCTCTGTCTGTCAAACAGCAGGGAGTGCCATTGTTGGTCAGGACTGTGGTGCAGCAGCAGAGCTGTCGGAGCGGAGCCCAGCATTGGCTGGATAAGTGCAGCAACAGGGGATAATAATGACCAGGACTGAGGTGCATCGACAGAGCTCTGTGCACAGATTCCAGGGCCAGTATAGCAGGTGCAGAGGCTGCAGATCAGAAAAGAAATGCACTAGCAGACACATTTGGGGTAGGGAAGAGCAAAGAGCCCGGGGATGAAAAGACCATTGGGTGCTGCTAGGAGACGTGCACAGTCCTACCCAAACTGTGCCTGATTTTAGCAGTGTTGAGCACCCACAGCTCCCACGGACTTCAGGTGGATCTGTGGGAACTCAGCATTTCTGAAAACCAGACCCACTATATCTGGCTCAGATCAGCACTCTGAGCTCCTCATTTCTGTCAGCAACAAACTCACAATCCACAGGCTACCTTAAATAGAAAGCAATAAAAGGCATTAACAAGACAGCACCTGCACTTTAATTAAAAGAAAAACACGCGGCTAATAAATCTTCTCTTACAAAGCCAAGGGTCTTGAAGTGCTGGAAGCTGTAATTTCTTATCCCGAGGCTGGAGTCACTAGAGTTAAGTTCAGTTGTCATGCCCGAATCTCCCTGACTCTCTCCACCCTCCTTCCGCCTCGCAAAGAAACCATTAAGTGTGCCAAGCTGAATGATGAGTGCTGCTCCTGGAGTGTGCCGTGCTGTGTGCTCATCACCAAAGCCATTTCACTGAGGAGAACCTCAGTGTGGACTGAAATTCTGATTCACAATCAGAGCTGCTCTCTGAATCAGGAGAGGTGAAGTAAAAAGGGCTAATCAGTTCCCGCCTCACGACTCTGCCCCATGATTGGAAATTAAGGAGCCATTCAACAAAACAGAGGACTGAAAATGCTACCCTGCAGTATGCGAAGTCAAGCTGTGACCCTCCCTGCAGCTGTAAAGCACGTTTATTACGGCAGTGCTTAGGGACCAATCCAGATTGGGGCCCCATTGTGCTAGGCACTGTACAAACACAGAAGGGTAGCGAGTCAGAGGCTGGATAATTTTATGACCATCCGTATAATTGCGGTTACATAAGCAGCAAGCTAATATAAAGGGGCCAACTACAGCCAACTGTGGTGATGTGGACACCTGTTCACTAGGAACCGGATAGAGACTCAGCAACTTATTTTACACATAGCAATTACCATTAAAGTAAGCATTACCAGCTGTCCCTGCATAGTGGTATCAGAGAAGTAGTACAGTGCTCTTCTATCCTATGGTATACGGGGAAAGCGGAGTCTTTCAGATTCCACTATATAGTATTCAGAGTAGCAGCCGTGTTAGTCTGTATCCGCAAAAATAACAGGAGTACTTGTGGCACCTTAGAGACTAACAAATTTATTAGAGCATAAGCTTTCGTGGGCTACAACCCACTTCTTCGGATGCACTATATAGTAGTGGCTGGAATATGTTGAATTTTATTGGTGTCAACGAACAGTCATCAAATGATATCAACTTTCACTTACTGTTAACCTCCGAATGCCATTACCAGTCGCCTGAGACCCCCATTCATGTGCTTTTCTAAGCACCCATTTGAATGTATTTGTTACTTTAAGCAGTAAAGTGAGTGCTCTTCTCCCACTTAGGACTGGAGTCAGTGGAAGGAATACTCAACACAAAAGCAGGTTTGGCGGTTTTGTTTTCCTTGTGGCAGGGCTGGGCGCAATCTTAGGTAAACATCTACATTAGCAGACACACTGACTGTTCCACAAAGAGTCTTAATCTCCCCGTGCCAAACCTCTCCTAAATGAGGTGACAAGAGCCTGGCAAAATCGGGACTCAAACATAAAAAGGGAGCTACCTTCATTGCTGAAAGGCTGTTTGCTTCTGAATAAGAAAAGCACTGAGGTTCCCACTTTCCCTTTCCATACCTGACAATTGATGTAGCTGTCCTCCTCCCCCTCCCCCATTTTCCCTTTTTTGGAATATAATAATGGATCTAAATATGAATGCTGCTAAAGAAAAGAATTATTGAGGTTTAAGTGAATCTGTAAGATAGCTTGAAAGTGAGCTTTTGACTGGAGCCTTTATCTCATTGACTCACTGGAATGGCTCTTTTTTATCATACTATTTATGGCAACAGCCCTAACAGAGATAAATAGGTCTGTAGACAATAACATACTTGCAGAGAGCAGCATATAGAGAGAGCCTTGCAGGTTGCAAATTCCACTGGACCAAAGATACTCAATCTCCTTGAGGCCTCTGCCTACCTCCCAAAGAGCAGAATTGCTGGAGGAGGAGGAGTAGTAAAAATTAACCTCTCTGTCTTGATTATAAAGTAAAAGAGAATGAATGGAGATCACACCCAAGCTGGATCTTGGGAATACTGTACATGAGGCAGGTTGCTCATTCTTTTGGATGGTGGTGAACCAAGGGATCCAGCAAAAGGAAACATACTTTTCCCTTGGCCATTTCTTGTAGGGATTTTTGGAATCTCATGTTATGTCCCAGACTCCTGGAAGGCTCCTTCAATCAAGGTGCAAGACAGTGTGTGCTGTGTCCTTCTCCAGTGGGAAGTCCCCTACCCTGCTACTGCTACCAGCTAATGGATTTACACCCTGAGCTCAAATGTTAGTGGCCTGTGCTGTGGTGCTGACAATTGGTCCATAGAAAAATTAACACCACAATTAATTGGCAGCCTAAAAGGTCTTTGGGCCAGAGGTTGTCTTCCTATTCAGCCCTGCAGTGCCTAAGGGTATGGCTACCCAGCAAGCGCCAGTCTGCAGTAGCAAATTTTAGAGCCCCGGTCTACACACTCAGGCTCATGCTATGGCGCTCCTCATAGCTGCGTAGACATTCAGGCTTGGGCTGCAGCTCAGACTCTGAAGCCTAAGAGACGGGGATGGGCTTCACAGCCACAATATCTACCCAGCTGTTTTTGGCACTGCAGCATGAGTCCTGTGAGCCTGAGTCTGACAACCTGGGCTGTGAGACGTGTTGCCGTGGGATGCACAGATGTACCCTGACATGTTTTGGGTGCTACCGTAATGTAACGAACAATCGGTAAAGGCGAAAACCTGCATTGAAATGCTTACTTATGAACTACAATGTGAAATCAGACTCAGCTAATCCCCAGTACACCTCCACTGTATGTTTGCCCAGAGCACAATCTCTTCTAGTCCAATATTAAATTCCAAGTCTTCCCCTTGCTTCTTCCATCCCTACCCCAACCTGCCTCCCAAAACCTCTGCAGGGGATTAAGTGGATGCAGAAGCTGTTAGTTCAGCTCATTTCACCCTTTTGGCTTTGATTTTTGTTCCTCTGTCTCATGGGCTTGTGCAGGTGAATGTATGTAAAGGCATCTCCCCTCATCGTCCTCTAGATGGAATATAGAGAATTGTGGTTCTGCTTCTGTGTGACCTAATAGATCTGACCCTTTAGCCCAAACACAAGCAGCTCCTGCTTTTAGATCCAGAGATCATGGGTTAATCCCCACGGACGATTTAACCAGGGGCATCATTACACTTAGATTATAAATTTACACGTGCACAGTGCCAAGAACAAAGGGGCACCAATCCCTGACTGGGACCTCTAGGCACAACTGCAATAGTAATATTAAATAATAAACAACAACAATAATAATACGCTGTAGTCACTCAGAAATTGAAGACAGCAGTAGGGAGAGAACTCAGAACCTCCTGGTCACTTAGAGTTTTATGGCAACAGTGGATACAACTGAGATCCTCCTGCACTAAAAGGGGCAGTACAGAGCCTATGACACACACTCCTGACTCCATCCAGCAGAGGTCAGTGGTGTCTGTGTCTGTCTGTCTTTCACTCGCATACCAATTCATGACACCGTTATGATTTCAAGATCCAAAAGCTTTCGTTGTCTTGGTAATCACTCAAAAGTTCTGGCTAAGCACCCACAAGTTCAGATTCTGATCCGAGCATCCCGAGTCTGCAAAACTGTCCATAAATTCCACATGGATAAACTGTTTCATAGGATCCCCAGCTCACCTTCCCTGCTTCTGGCTGAGCCAGGAATACAGCGTTATGACAAAGAACTTCTGCAGCTGTTTTGGTATTTCTCTCACCATCCAGGACCCAGAAGTGCAGAAGCAGACTCAAAATAGAAAAAAGGTGGGAAAAGCGGTTGGAATCCTGGGCCAAGGCTCTCAGTTGGTTCTTACTGTATCTGAACTGGCTCAGGTATCCCTGATGGCCACTTTACTGTCACAAGGGCTTTATTTTCTCTCTCCCTCAGCACTCTACCTCTATCTCAGTTTCAATTTCCCCAGCCCCCTAAACCCCCTCTTTAGTGTCTCTTTTTGTCAACCCTCTGTGAATGCAGCGTGAGCAGCACATCCTGACCTGTGACCTCCCCACCAAACACAGAAGCAGCTGGCCCATCTGGCAGGAGTGAAATGTAAAAATTAGAGGACAGAGATGACAAATGAAATACAAACACACCGGCATTGGGGGCTTCCAAACAAATATGACAGCGGCTTCAGTAACAGCAAGATAAACTAAATTATTTACAGCTTCAGACAGGGGCTAAAAAATGATCATTGCTCTGCGCAGGCAGTGGGAAGGCAGAGAAACTCCAAGGAAGGGTCAGAAAATAACAGCAGGGAAGAAGGTGTTGTAGTGGCCTGCGTACTGCAGGCTGTTGGCCAGATTTAGCCCTGTACCTCAATGCATGGTCTGGCTCCCCCAACCTTCCTGCTCTGCTCCCCTTTTATCTTACCTCTGTATGCACAACACTCCACGCCCCTGGCCTGAGTTCTCTTCTTACAAGCTACCAGTCCCTATGTTGGGCAAGGGAAAGTCATTTAATGGTTCAAGAAGGGGGACTGGGAACATGAACTCCTGGGTTTTGCCTGTCCTGCCACTGATGTTTTGTGTGACCTTGAGCAAGTCATCATCATCGTTTGTATTCAGTAGCACCTGGAGGCTCAAACTGAGATCAAGGTCCCATTGTGCGAGGTGCTGTACATGCAGTGAGAGACAGCCCCAAAATGCTTACAATCGACATAGTCATGACAGCCACAGGGGGGCAGAAACGAAGTCTCTTCATCTCTTCATGCCCTACTTTTCTTCTCTGCAAAATGAGGATAACAATCCTTACCTTCCCCTCCCTGGTGGGTTGTGAGACTTAATTAATTAGTATTAGCAAAGGACATAGTGATCCTTTCACCTTCCAGCTCTAATCACCAGACAAAGTGAGACTTGTAGTGGGAGGGTATAAACAAAAAGAGCCATAGCTTAAGCAGCAACTAGACAGAGAACAACCTGACTGGGAAGTCTCCCTGTTTATTAAGGTACCCCGCAACACATCCTGGTCCTGTCTGGTAACACTGTGGAGCACCCAGAATGCTATAACCACTCCATAGGACTGATTTCAAACATTTGTAGGTCCTGTGATATCGTCAACAATGGACAGAGTCAATGAGGGGTTGGGCAGTCTGGACTTAAAGGGAGAAGCAATGAAGGAGGAGGAAAAATAGACAAGCTAAGACCGTTTCAGGAATTTGATCCAAGAGTGCTAAATTCTTCACTGCTGTGCATTCATTTACACCCAGGCACAGGGAGTGCTGAGTGCTACCAAACCAGAATGATAGTGTCTCACACTTGTTCTGCACAGGTCTAGGTAGCAGCAAGGTAGCAGAGCATCAGGCCCTGTGACTACTGGTTATTCTCGTAAAGTTTCCCTGAATGCGGCAACTGAAATTAAACACACGGTTCCCCAGGTTGTGGGAGTGCAGATACCCCCATGCTTACAGGTCTCTAATCCAGTCCAGATTTTGTATATAAGCCTTTACTGCTCTCCTTCTCGCGCCCTCCTAACACCTGCTGCTTCGGCGTGTGGCCAAGTGCTATTGTGTCGGTCCCTGAACTCTGTCCCTCTGCCTCCGCCCCAATTTCCACCCATTTAATGGGAGCGCTTTGCTGGCTGGCACGGAGCCAGAAGGCTTTCGATGTCTTTCTACCAGTGTGCTCCAGGTTTCTCCCCCCAAGTGTGCACGCCAGGTCCCCCTTCCGCTTTAGCAAGTGAACACTATTGTCGCAGAGAGAGTGCACAAATACCGCCCGAATTCAGAGACCCAGTTTCCTGAAGCGCCCCGGAAAAATCTTTATTTCCTTTGTCTCCACTGACATGAGTTAGAGCTGCTGGTCTCAAACCTAGCACAGTGCCCCAGCCTAACCCACAGTTTCATTGCTTTGCTGGGTTTGGCCCACTGCCTGAAGCATTCCGTTTTCTGACATTCCAAAGTAGTAGTTAAATAGTCTCCCCTTGCCACCCGTAAAGAGCCAAATCCTCTGCTCAGGTGCACAGGTGAAACCTTCCTGATGTCAATAAGGTCATATAGTCCACCCCACTATTAAAAACTCCCTCCAATTCGGAACAATTAGGGATTTGGGTAAATAACAAGGCTGTGTGAAACTAGTGGGCTTCCATTCCCATGAGTTTCAGTTCACGTGGTTTCATGCTCTTTGACATTCACTTCACATGCTGGATTTATTCCCCATCTCCTAAATCTAGGGAGTATATTTTCATTTTTAACAGGACTTCCGTGATATTCAGTAGCATTCACCCTGCAGTGCAAGGAATTCCCCTGTAGGAAAAGAGCGATTGTAAAAGGCTGGTACTGTATTCGTTTTTTTGTTTGTTTGTTTTTTAATATCCACATACAAGAAGAGTTCAGGTTTTTAAGGCTTCTCTTGCAATAAACCCATAAATTCAAATCAAATGGCTGATGATGGACTTACATGTGGTGAAGAGTGCACCAGCCGCAGTGAGGGTCCCCTGAGCTCAGACATTCCCCACAGGTTGTGTATTGCTCACAGGATTCAACAGGAACCCTGGACACCTAGAAAGGAAGTAAATAAACATGTTCATTGCATTTTCACTCCCCTTGTCTTCACAACATACAAAACAGCAGCAACTAGCCCTTTTATAGGGGCTTTTCTCTGAGGACTGCAAAGCGATTCACAAACTTTAATTAAAGACTAAAAAAATCCTTGTGGGGTAAATCAATACTATGAAACATTATACCCGTTTTACAGACAAGGACACCAAAGCTCAGAGGTGCTCAGTAGATTGCCCAAGGTTGCACAGCAAGTCAGTGGCAGAACTGAGAACAGAACCCAGTACCCTGTTCTAACATGTTAGAGAAAGTGACTCTCAGTTTTTCTTCCTACAGAAACGTACAGGTACGTACGCGACAGCTAGCCCGAGGTGCAGCCCCTGCTGCAGAGGCCACACTGCTATTTTTAGCGTGCTAGCTTGTGCAGACCTAGCATGTGTCTGTTCACTTGCAGTTGGAAGCACGCTCCCAGGTGCAGTGTAGATGTACCCTGTGTTTCATACAGGGCTGCGGGAAAAGTTCTTAGCAGGAAGGTTAGGAGGAAATAAAATTCCCCAAGAGGATAGGGAACGGCAGTGCACGTTTGAAGAGCAAATACTGCCATTTTGGTTTTGCTTTGCTTTCACCCTTCAAATACTGTAATTGAATTTTGGGCCCCGTAATAACGTTTTCAGTGATGCATGGTTAAGATAAAATTGATCAAATTTCAAGCTTCCATCCCTAGGCTGGTAGCTACAGAGATTAGGAAGGAATTATTCCCTGTTATACAGCACTGAAAATTGGTGAGATGTATTTTAAGGGTCTTCATCTCCTTTAGCAGGATCAGGTATGGGTCCATACTGGCCCTGAAGGGCCAGTAGTCTGATCCAAGGGGATAAATCCTAGACTTCAGTGTTTCATAGGCCTCTTAATGGCCCTCGACACAGGGGTGAATTTCAGCCTGGGAGAGCTTCCTATGAGCACATCTGGATTCCATGAGAATCTCCGGGCAAGAACAGACGGTTACTCTCAGATCCTCAGTAAAGTACTCTCAATACATAGCAGGACAAGCCATATTAAAACAAGTGGCTGTAACCCTGTGCAGTCACAATTCCATTTCTCAGGATCACTGACAAGACATCTTCAGATAAGGGAGTAAAAGTTTCTCAAAACCAGACAATGGGGCTGCCTGGCCTGTCTCACAGGGGCAGGAGAGAAAAGAAAATGAAGAGGGAATGCCTCTGTCGCCAGGGATTTACAAAAATCACCAGGAATCTGGCCATCAGCAAATAACTTCACACAGTAACCTTCATGAACAGAAAAGGTACATTTACACCGGTGAGATGTTACAAGGTCCTGACCCACTTATCATAATTAACTCCCCCCGAAATACTGCCTACAAGACGAGGGCTTTAACCCCAGTGTCATTGCCAGATTCCAATCTGGCAATTATGCTTTGCCTCTTTTAATCCCCTCCCTGCAGTTTCAACGAGATGAGGTATTTCTCTCCACTTCCTGTCCTAAAGCCATCATATGGGCTTCTGCGTAGAGTTCAATAGCTATCGCATTCCACCCCAGAAGAAGGTGTGTTTCAGCAGCAGACTCATTGTCACAAGACAGCATTGAGGGCAAGAACTTAGCAGGATTCAGCACAAGGACTGGACATTTATCTGGATCACCAGAATATCCAGTCTCAAAATCAAACTAACAAAAGTTTGGGAAGGGACATAAGCCCTCCTGCATCCTAATCGCTAATGAACAGGGCGAGAAGGAGACATTCCCTGGGGCAGGTTATCCCATCATTGCTTACTGTGAGGTTCTTTTACCTTTCTCTGAGGTGCTAACCACTATCAAAGACAGTATATTGGACTAGACGGACCTCCGGTCAAATCCAATATGACAATTCATATGAAGTGAGATTCATCTATACATTTTAAAAAAATCTTATATACAGTCTATGAAGTGCTGTGGGATCCGTAGGGGTGAAAGATGATGTGTAAATGTTTTAGTTAATACATAATAATAATAATAATAATAATAATAATTATTACTACCTATCATGTTGTATCAACAGCAGAGACACAAATGTCCCATTTACAATAAATAGCAACATACAGTCAAGCTTGCCTGGCAAAGAGGCCTAGCGGAGGGGGTGATCGGGGCTTAGCCTGTGCAGACAGATTGCACAGCAGTCTGGGGTGAGCACATCAGAGGCTCTTGCTGGTTTGTGTTAGTGAAATCTGTCTGCTAACGCACCGGCAAATGCTCTCTTTGGCAGCCGGAAGGCAGAGTTCTAGTCCAAGGAGCCAGTCCCAAAACCGCCCCCACGCGCACACTTGTTTGGAGGCGTAAACATGTGCTGGGATGGTCCAGGACAGGACGTAGACTGCTGGCTTCCATATGGCTCACAGAAACAAATCTTGGAGGTACTGCTTGCAAGCTGGGACTGGCAAGTCAGACTTCAGCAGGTCAGCAATCCACAGTGACACAAAGCCTGTATAAGTCATAAGGTTTTGACTGAGTTGGGAAGCAGAATTACACCCTCATGAAGCCCCGTCCCTTCCACCGAAGAGGCGGCCATATTTTAATGTAACCCTGCCAAACCTTCCCTTCCCAGGAGACCATACAAATGCACCCAGGAAGAGACCATACTGTGTCGTAACACACCATCTCCTCCTTGGAGGTAGGGTGACCAGACACCAAGTGTGAAAAATCGGGACGGAGGTGGGGGGTAATAGGAGCCTATATAAGAAAAAGACCCAAAAATCGGGACTGTCCCTATAAAATCGGGACATCTGGTCACCCTACTTGGAGGTGACTGTTCCAGCCCACTCTGTACCTGCCCCCAGTAGGCAGGATGCCTCAAGTACTATTAGTTATTTAGATATTAAGCAATGGGTTTGGTAAAAGTCTATATGTCTGTTTCTCACCTGCTCTGCACCTTGTGCAGTCACGGACACCGGTGCAAACAGCCAGTGTAATCGAATACAGAATTCTGAGTTGGCAGCATTTTATGCTGATTTTGCACAGAGCTATATGGTGACACAAGGTACAGGGCAGGGGAGAACCATGTTCTGTGTACCAGATTCACCACTATGTAACTTCAGTGTTACACCAGTGCAAGTTCCACTGATGTCATTAGAGTCACAGCAGCACATAACTGGAGTAACAAAATGGTGAATCAGGCCCAGAGAGTTCATGTCCATGGAGGATGTGTATTCTTGGTTGTAATTTTTAATGTCTGTGCCAGTCTGAGTGTCAGAGTGAGGCATTTCACAACTTGAAATAAATACTAAAATCCACCACCACACCTACCCCTCTACGCTCCCCCTACCCCCCCAAAAACAACATCCCCCCCCCCAGCTCTTGGCTTCAGATTTTGGCTTGTAATAAAAAGAAGAAAAAAAGATTGAAAGGCAAATATTCAAGGGAAAAGGAGCCCCTGTGGTAGAAATGAAAGTGAACAGAAAAAGGATCTTTTATGTTTAAAACGCTGCATGCTCAAGTAGGCGGGAGAAGAACATTTCTGATTCCTGTTCCAGTTCACCTCTCCCATGGCAATCGCTCTCTGCCGGGCTCTGGTGTATCCGTTACACTAACCAATGGGCTCCCTTCCGCTCTGCCATCCAAACAGAGCCCTTGTGCAGAGATAACTAAAGCCAAGTGTGCGGCCTCTTTCCTTGGGTTTCTGGCTCCTTGTGAGTGATTTCTGCAACTGGCTGAAATTAAAACAACTGTCTGCATTACATTCGCTCTGTCTGTCAAAACACGGCCTCGCTCTCAGCAGCTGGGAAGTCAGGGGCTGAAAGGAAGCAGTGTCTCTCTGAACAAAGGCCACTTTCACGCCAAATGTTGTTGATATAGTGAGAACCCAGTTCCTCTCTAAACATGAAACCAATAGGGCTGCTTTTCTTCTTGTTTCCTGGGCCCTACTTAACAGCTTTAAAAAAATTATTATATCTATAAAATTTATGTTGCGCCAGGACACTACGGAGCCGTTTCGGCCTGGAATTAGCCAGTGCTGCAATTATGGAGGCCTTTTGGGTCAAATTCAGTGGTGATGTAAACCGTGGTGGAAGGCACGTAAGAGGCAAAGCTGTGCGCAACATGCACCCATTCGGGATCCCAAGGGCGTGCAAGGGACAAACTTACACATGGAGAAGGGCGATGTAGGAAAAGGAAACAATCGGAGGGTGTGATAAGGACACAGGAGGTCTGGGTTCAGTCCCTGGCTCTACCATACGCTCTGTCTGTCCAAGTCTCTTCCTCTCTGCGCCTCAGCTCCCCATCTGTAAAATGGCAATAATGATGTTCTCTCTCTCTCATCATTTGTCTGTCCGGTCAACCTAGTCTATAAGGGGCTCTCTCTCGTTAGGTGTCTGTACAGCTACTAGCACAATGGGGCCCTGATCTCACAGGGCCAGTAACTGCTACTACAGCACAAATAGATGAGTACCCATCTCTTTCTCTCTCTCTCACACATACACACACAATCAGACAGACATACCCCCTCACCCCTACGCTGTCTGCAACATTCCGAAGTTCAGCCCTACTGTCAGAGGACACCACACCCGTTGTGGTTATCCAGGTACTTATGAGGTCCCCATCACCACTAATAGATTAAATATGCCTATTCTGAATTTCTGTATGTTTTAGAGGCAAAAATTGCCATTTGATAGAATTTTCTTGTGACACACAAGGAAGCCTGGTGAAAATTCAAGACAACAGAGTGTGCACTGGCTGTGACCAAGCAGTTAAAATAAATGCTTTCTTTTCAGCCTCCCAAACAAAGGGCAGGGAGAGAGAACGGGACTGCCAGCGCCATGAAACTGACCAGGAAACTAAGAATTGAATCTTATCCCAAAGTTGGAATCTGCCTCCCTCTCTCGTTCAGGATGCCAGGATGGGACAACGTTCCCTGCAAACATCCAAGTCTCCTGATGGCAACATGGGAGCTGCTGTGAAAGGTTGTCTAGTGCTTGGTCAGCACTGGAGCAGAGGGGAACATAGGCCCATGTGTGCGA